AGGAAGGAAGGAAGGAAGGAAGGAAGGAAGGAAGGAAGGAAGGAAGGAAGGAAGGAAGGAGGGGGCGCGCCGCTGGACATCGCCCGCTAGCTCTGCGCCTTCTCCATCCTGCGCTCCGGGATCCTCCGAGCAACAGCGGAGCCGGGGCAGAGGCAGGAGGCTGGGAGAAGCAGCTGGGGACCCCCGGACGCCCACCCACTTACCCGCTCACCCACTCACCCACCCGGGCACTGGATTGCCCCGGAGCGGAGGGTGCAAACTGTGCGCCCCGGACGATGTGCGCGCTGGTGCAATCGGGGCTCCGGAGCGGGGACCTTGGCTGGGCTGGGCTGGGTTGGGGTTGGGGTCGGCTATGGGCAGAAGCGCCCCGAGGAATCTCCGCGCTCCGGTCGGGCTGGCTCGTCTTCCCCGGGACCCGTTGAACCCGGGAGTCTCAGGCGAAGGAACTCCCAACTCTCCTGGGAACTCAACCGCGGGTCTCTGGGGCGCAGGAGGATGGACGGATCGCGGATGGGAGGGTTTTTTTCCCCAGCCAGCTTTCCTGGAGGTTCAGAATTGGAAATGAACGTGTGAATGCAACTCAGGGTAGAGGCAGGCAGGTCGGGTCAGGGGGTGGGACGGAGCAGAAGAAGCGCCTTGAGAGGCTTTGGCCGATTCCTGGAAAGGGGGGGGGAGCGGAATCGTTATTTCGGGTGGAGGTTGCAGGAAGAGTGAGATGCATATTGCTCCCTCATTTCTTCTAAATTGGGTTTGTGTGTTTTTGTTTTTAAGAAGGATCCGGCTTTCCTTCCAGGGGTTCAAACCCTGAAGGAGAGCGAGCCTGTCTTTGGGGCAGGCAAAAACCAGCACCTTTTCCCAATTTGGGAAAGGGTGCCAACCCTTTTGGGGGGAACCCCGCAAACTTCCCCGTGGGTTCGCAAGTCCCTGGCGAGCAGAATGCGGGATTTAAAGTCAAGGTTTTGGAAGACTTTGCATTCCAGCTCAAGGTTGCTAGCAGAGTCTGCAATTCTTGTTGCAGGTTGAATGTCTGTCTGTCTGTGTGTGTGTGTGTGTGTGTGAAGACCAACCCTTAGAAGCAGATGGGGGGGGGGGCTCCAGAGGGATTGCCGGACCCCAAATCTCAGCTTGGGAGCTGTGCTGAAGATAACCGCTCTTTCATTTTGCTATTTCTCGTCTTCGGATACTCTGGGTGAGACTTAATTCTTGATTCTTTTCCTCCCTAGCTTGAGCTGAGACTGGGAAAGGTCACCCCATGAGCATTGGGGGGCTTGAGACGGACTCTTCTGGACCCCCAGCAGCTCCCCCTTAACCCTGCCTCTGAGAAACAGAAGTATCGGAAGAGCCTGCTAACCACCTTTCAAGGTAGGCCATGCTAAAAAGGACCGGCAGTATCACAACTGTGATTTTTTGAATCTTTGACCACAGGTTTGGCCAAGAGGAAGGGGGCAGCTACTCTCTCCTGTCCCCTTCCTCTTGGCCAAATCTGGGCATTTTAGAGTCCCCCGGGCCACATTTGGCCCTTTGGCTGCCCCAGTCCAGCCTACATGAGGTCCTTTGGAAAACAGAAATCACGTAAATTGTTTTTTTTTTTTTTTAAATTTGATTTATATGCCGCCCTTCTCCGGAGACTCAGGGCGGTTTACAGTGCGTTAAGCAATAGCCTTCATTCTTTTGTATATTTTATACAAAGTCAGCTTATTGCCCCCACAAACTGGGTCCTCATTTCACCTACCTTAGAAAGGATGGAAGGCTGAGTCAACCTTGAGCCTTGGAGAGATTCGAACCAGCAGAAATTGCAGGCAGCTGTGTTAATGACAGGGTGCACTAAACCACTGTACTATCAAGGCTCTTTGTGCAGAAATGAATAGATTAACTATGATGCTAAAGGAAAGGGAAGATTCAGAATATTTTAAGATATGGAATACATTTTACTATTGGTTAGAAAAGGGATACAAATAAGTTTTTAAAAGGGATTTTTAAAAAAATTGTTGTAATTAGAATATTATATTTAGTGAAAAATCTTTGTAATGGACTTGGTGAGATTGAAGAGAGAAGAGGTAGAGAAGAGAAGAAACTTTTGAAGATAACACCAAAATGTCACATGGAAGAAATGAATGATGCACTACTATATATTTGTTTGTCTTAAAAAATAAAAAAAAACCTTTATATATAAAAAAAAAGAAAAATAGAAATCACGCATAAATAAATGTACGACATGCACGCAGCAATACAACGGACGTCGTTTTTAGTTTAAAAGCCAACTGCTATTTTGTTTTATTTTTTCAATTTACATGCGTGTGTGCAATGCACTTTCACACCCCTTGTCGATTTGGCTCTCCACAACAGGCCCAGTTTCTCAGGTGTCCCCCTTGGGAAAATGAATTGCCTACCCCACCCCGCTCCCCATTCTCGCCCCCCCCCCCCAGGAAGAGGTGGATTATTATTATTATTTTTTGGCAGCTTGGCAGATTTCATCTTCCTGACCCACTTTTCTTTCCACCTTCCTCCTCCTCCTCCCCCCCACCCCCCAGTCATGGTGGGTCACCTACAGTTCCAAGGTATGGACAACACCAACAAGGAGAAGAACCGGGAAAGCTTGCTGGACAGTCCTGATTCGGGGCTGCCCCCCAGCCCGAGCCCCCCTTTCTACTCCTTGTCTCCGGGCGGAGCTGAGAACAAAGCCGTGGACAAGAATTCCTGCACAGAAATCCTGGATCAGGGACCCGCGAGAGATGGTCCGGAAGGGAAGCTGGTAAGTTAGGCAATGATTATTATTATTATTATTTTACTTTGGACTTTCTCTCTCTGTGTGTGCGTCTGTGAATTTGGCTTTGCAATTTGCCGGCCTCGTTCAAAGAAACTCAGATTTTAATTTGGATTGCTGCAATCTTTGCAAGTAGTTTCTTGCCGAGGTGGAGGCTCTACGTGCTGTAATAGCTGAACGTGCTTTAGGTGCTGAATCACTGAAAGCAGGAGACGGTGAGTTCTAGTTCCGCCTTAGGCATGAAAGCGGGCTGGGTGACTTTGTGCCAATCACCAGGAGACTGGGAGTTGTAGTCCCGCCTTAGGCATGAAAGCAGGCTGGGTGACTTTGTGCCAATCACCAGGAAACTGAGAGTTGTAGTCCTGCGTTAGACATGAAAGCGGGTTGGGTGATTTTGGGCCAATCACCAAGAGAGGAAGAATTCTAGTCTCGCCTTAAGTGTGAAAACCGGCTGGGAGACTTTAGTCAATCACCAGGAGACTGTGAGTTCTAGTTCTACCTTAGACATGAAAGCCAGCTGGGTGACTTTGGGCCAATAACAAGAAGACAGTGAGTTGTAGTCCTGCCTTAGGCATGAAAGCGGGCTGGATGACTTTGTGCCAATCACCAGGAGACTGGGAATTCTAGTCCTGCCTTAAGTACAAAAACCAGTTGGGTAACCTTGAACCAATCTCTCTCTCTCTCAGCCCAACCCACTTCACAGGGCTATTGTTACTGTGGGGTAAAGAGCAAGAGGAATACGGATTAGATATGTTTGCTACCTTGAGTTATTTATAAAAACGACAAAGACGGGATAAAATTAATAAAAACCAATTGCAACAACTTCATACCATTTGCTTTTCTGGAATGAATTAGCTTGGAAACCGATACTATTGGTGGACTGGTTTGCTGGTTGAACTATCACCGTTTCTCATCCAAATTGCAGGCATGGTAATGTTTCTATTATTTTTTTTAAAAAAATTCCCAGATGTCTGATTGCTTGACCATCGGCTAGTCATTAAATACTGAAATATTTGGTTTAATTATGTTTTGCATCCGGAACATTATATATATATATATATATATATATATAGGAATCCAGTTTTGTTCTATTTTCTTATTTAGAAGACGAGTCTCGTTTCACACAACAAGGGTGGGGCTCAGCAGGCCAAGTTTCTGCAGGATATTATATTGGCTGGGCCAGTGTGTTTGTGGAAAGTTTCAGGTTCCCAGTCCTCATGGAGGAGAGAGAGAGAGAGTGGGAGAGAGTCAAAAGCATGAGGAAGCGTCTAGGTTAACCAAAACGGATTAAGGTTGTGAAATGCTAAGGACGAAGGCGGAATGTGTTATCTCCTAAAATAATTAATTGGGCGGCATCCCCTCGCACGCTAAATTAATTAGCAAGCTGTAGTTATGTGTTTTATTACCGTGAGCAAATGCATCTGTAAGTTCTTCACCACACTGAGGATAAGTGTCCTGTGCATTTAGCCACGACCGGAGCAAAATGTGGGCGAGTGGACATTTTTGTCTGTGTGGGTCTGTGTGAGAACTAGTTGCAATTCATCCATGAGCTCAGCGGAGTTCAGTTCCATGGATTTAACAGTGACAGAGTTGGAAGGGGCCTTGGAGGTCATCTAGTCCAACTTAGGGATTCGAACCGCCGAACTGCCGACCTTTCTGATCGACAAGCTCAGTGACTTAGCCACTGAGCCACCTACTACAGAAAGTCTACAAATTTCTAAGTACAGAAAGAAAAAGAAAAAAAAATTAGAATTTTCCAGAGCGCGAGCTTTACTTCTTCCGGCGATCAGAGTAAAAAATGAAGAGGCCCTACAGTTTTTTAACCCTAACCCTAAACATCAAAGGAAAAGAAGACTAGGAATATTTTATTCATTTCATTTCATTTCATATCATTTGATTTATATACCGCCCTACTCCCAAAAGACTCAGGGCGGTGAACAGGCACAAGATAAAACACATAAAATATAAAAATTTAAGAGCAGAAGTAAAATCGAATTAAATCAGTTATCCCAAGACAATTTAAAACCCCAGGTTAAGAACAAATTAAAATTTACATTAAATTTTATAACATGGGAACCATTCTACAAATGATTAATTGACAGAGACTGAGGTTAGAGGAGTGGATTTATGTGAAATATGGATTACATGAGAAAGAAAAACTGATGGATAAATATTTTGATGGTTGTATAATCGATACTGTAATGGAAGATAGTATACTTTTCAATAACAATTGATATTATCGCATATATATTAATATATCAAGCTGATGAAGGGAGGAGGACTTGTGGCTCAGAGGTTAATACAACTGCCTAACATGCAGGCAGTCCAAGTTTGAATCCAAGGAAGGGTATAGCTAGCTGATGAGAGCTAAATAGCTTGAAATAAGTCTATACTAGTCTCCCTTTAACAGGGAAATATAAATTTGGTATTTGTATATATTATAATGATTATGATGATGTTTATATGTTAACACTTTGGACACCTAGAAAACACACTGTTCAACAGAGAAATGGAATATATGATATAAAACAATTAAAAATATTTAACAACAACAACAACAACAAGAATTTTCCAGAGTCCGAGCTTTACTTGTTCCGGCGGTCAGATTAGAAAATGAAGAGGCCCTACAGTTTTTTGTTTTTTGTTTTTAATTGTCTTTATGGCAGACTTTCCTTGGGAAAATTGAGGTCTTGGCAGGTCCCCTCCCTTCGGTTGGCTGGCGGAAACTTGCTAATCTGTCCCTCTCTAAACAAACAAAGGAGGAAAAAAACAAAATCTTTGGGTTCTGGATTTGCAACCTCAAGGAACCCCAAGGAATTGATTTCTGTAACACAGAAACCATTGGCTGGCTTGAAAAAGAGCTAGCCAAGAGTCACATTAAACCCAGTTTAAGGATGTGCTGGATTTTTAATTTTTTTTAAAACCTGTCTCCGGGTTGAGCATCTTGGCGTGAGGATTTTCTGAAATTGTATACTTCTCAGATCTTCTTAGGAAAAGTCACAAGTTGTGTTTGCGAGTGAATCTCTTACAGGTAGTCCTCGGCTTACGACCGCAGTTGGGAGCAGAATTTCCATTTGCTAAGCAAGGCCTAGGTTTTGTGAAGCGAGTCGCCTCCGATTTCACCTCCTTTTTTCGTCATGGTTCTTAAGCGAATCCCGGCCGTCGTTAAGTGACTTGTGCGGCCGTTAAGCGAATCCGGCTTCCCATGTTGACTTTTGCTTATCAGAAACTGGCTGGGAAGATGGCAAATGGTGATCGCGTGACCCCAGGGTTATAGATTACACATAAACAGAGTTGGAAGGGACCTTGTAGCAGTGATGGGATTCAGCCGGTTCGCACCACTTCGGGAGAACCGGTTGTTAACTTTCTGAGCAGTTTGGCAAACTGGTTGTTGGAAGAAATCATTAGGGCAGAGAACCGGTTGTTAAATTACTTGAATCCTACCACTGCCTTGTCCAACCCTCTACCCACCCAAGCAGGAGACCCTACACCATTTCTGACAAATGGCAGTCCATCAGACGAATGCAGCAACCGTCATAAATGCCAAGTGCCCAAATTTTGAACACGTGACCATGGGGATGGGTGACCATGGGCAATGGTTGTAAGCGCGAGAACCGGCAAAAAGTCACTTTTTTCAGGGCCGTTGTAACTCTGAAAGTTCGCTAGCCCTCCTGCGTTGATCCTTCTCTTGATGGCTCCTCCAAAAAAGAGAGTCAAATCTATCAATCAATCAATCAGAATAGAGCTGGGAGGGATTTTGGAGGTCATCTAGTCCAGCCCCCTGCTCAAGCAGGAGAATTTATACCATATCAGATAAGTGACTGTCTAATCTCTTCTTCAAAACCTCCAGTGATGGAGTACCCACAACTTCTGGTGGCGAGCTGTTCCACTGGTTAATGGTCCTCACTGTTAGGAAGTGTCTCCTTAATTCCAGGATGCTTCTCTCCTTGATTAGTTTCCATCCATTGTTTCTTGTCCTGCCCTCCGGTGCGTGGGAGAATAATTTGACCCCCTCTTCTTCGTGACAGAAAAGGAAGACTGCTATCATGGCACCCCTAATTCTTCTTTTTTCTAGACTAAACATATCCAGTTCCTGCAACCGTTCTTCATATGTTTTAGTCTCCAGGCCTTTGATCATCTTCGTTGCTCTTCTCTGGCATCTCCTAGTGGTCTCCCAACCCTGCTTAAATCCAAGCCTGATTTTCAAATCAGTCCTCTGCTGCATTCTTAAGGAAGTCCTCAACCTATGACCAGAATTGGGAGTAGTATTGCCATTGTTCTTAGCCAGATTCAAGACCTGCAACAGTTCTTCGTATGTTTTAATCTCCAGGCCTTTGATCATCCTAGTTGCTCTTCTTTGCACTTTTTCTTCCCCCAAAAGTCTCAACCTCTTTTTTCATAATGCGGTGACCAAAACTGGATGCAGGATTCCGGGTGGGGGTCTGGAAATCGTGGCCACGAAGGCGTTATGCCTTGCAGGAAGCGCGGGAAAACTTCGCTTGCCTTCCCCAACTTCTTTGGAGTGTCCCATTCCCGCTGCCTTGGCACCGAGCTAAGATTCCTTGGCCTAAGATTGTTTTTATTTTGGGTTGGTGTTTTGTTTTGTTTTGTTTTTTTCTTTCTTTCTTTCTTCATTTTTTTGGCCAGGGGTGCCTCTAGTTCTGGCACCACGTATCGGTTGCATTGCTAGGATTTCAAGCCTTCGTCTGTTTGTGGTTACTGAAATTGTGCCTGGCAGGCTTGCTGTAGAAGTGTGTGGTGTATCTCTGCGTTTAACCCCTCAAGGGTAGCTCGATTCCCGCGGTGGTAGAAATAGAAATTGTGTTTTTTGGGGGGCCCACTTTAGATCCAAGATTGGAGGGGATGGCTTCCCTTGTTTTGCCTCTGACAACTGGAAGATCCAGAACAGAATGAAAAGTCCTGCTCAACCATCGATTTCATATTTAAGTTGCATCGCTGTTCTGCACTCCTCCTGGTTTGGGTCTCCTCTCTTCTTTGAGCTGCTAAAACCCCTCTGAATTCTCCCCGACTTTTCCTGTATCGGCAGGTAAATGTAAAAGGAGCATATATTCCAGAGAGAAAAGTTGTGCTGGTTCTAAAAGGAAATATTAGGGAGAAAAAAGCTCGTTCCTTGTTCCGCACAGAATCCGGAAGACATTCCTGTCAACTTTCGAACAATGCCAAGCAAAGTGCTAGTCCCTAAGAACTTTGCGTATGAGATACTTTCTGTTTTTTGTTTTTGTTTTTTCCAGGCTTTCAGTCACAGCTTTTAATTCAGTGCCGATTTCTCTTATCTTTTTGCAATGAATGTCATTTTGTTTGCTCATAGTTCAGGGTTTTATTTTCAGGGATGTTTAATTCTCTCTAGGTTGTCTGATGTTCTTCCTTCCTTCCTCCCTTCCTCCATCCCTCCCTCCTTTTCTGTCCTTTCTTTCTTTCTTTCTTTTTTCTTTCTTTCTTTCTCTTTCTTTCTTTCTTCCTTCCTTCCTCCTTCCCTCCCTCTGTTTCTGTCCTCCCTCCCTCCTTTTCTGAACTTCCTTCCTTCCTTCCTTTCTCCTTCCCTCCCTCTGTTTCTGTCCTTCCTTCCTCCCTCCTTTTCTGTCCTTTCTTTCTTTCTTTCTTTCTTTCTTTCTTTCTTTCTTTTCTTTCTTTCTTTCTTTCTTTCTTTCTTTCTTTCTTTCTTTCTTTCTCCCTCCCTCCCTCATGTTCTGTCCCTTCTTTCTTCCTCCTTCCCTCCCTTCATTTCTCTTCTTCCTCCCTCCCTCCTTGTCCTTCCTCCGTCCCTCCTTGTCTTTCCTTCCTTCCTTCCTTCCTTTCTCCCTCCCTCCTTTTCTGTCCTTCCTTCCTTCCTCCCTCCCTCTGTCCCTCCATCCCTCCCTCATTGTGCTTGGAAATTTTTTCTTCTCCAGGCAGTTCAAGGGAAAAATACACCTGCTGCTCTTTAATGTCCTTTCTTTCTGTTTGCACCAGGAAGATTTAAGACGATTGTTGCTCCTGATTGGAGCCCTGAGTCAACACACTCTGCACACATCCAAAACCTGCATTGTTCTCTGTTTCGTTTTGATGCTCCCTGGAGTATGTAAACAGCCTTATGCATCTCTGGATACTGATAAAGGCCGCTATCCAGAAAATTCCCATCTGCTATTTCATAAATCTCATGCCAAAATATCATCTTGGGTTTTTTTTTTTTCCTTCATGCAAATTGCCCCCTGCAGCTGGGAATGCTGCAGCCTTTATGCGTAACCAATTAAAGGGAAGATTTCCAGATGTTTTAGAACAGTATCTCTTAACTTCGGCAATTTTAAAATATGCGGACTTCAACGCCCAGCATTCTCCATGAGCCATGAGGAATTCTGAGAGTTGAAGCCCATCCGTCTTCAAGTTTCCAAGTTCAGAAAACATTTGACTAACCCTAATCTGTTGGAAGTTCAGATGGTCTCTTCAGTCACAAGTGGAAGACTACCTGTACAACTACAACTATCAGATTAATAGAGTTGGAAGGGACCTTGTAGGTCATCTAGTCCAACCCCTCGCCCAAGCAGGAGACCCTACACCATTTCTGACAGATGGCTGTCCAGTCTCTTCTTGAAAGCTTCCAGGGATGAAGCTCCCACAACTTCTGAAGGCAACTTCTGTTCCATGGGTTGATTCTTCTCACTGTCACAAAATTCCTCCTTATTTCCAGGTTGAATCTCTCCTTGGTCAGTTTCCATCCATTATTCCTTGTCTGGTCTTCTGGTTCCTTGGAAAATAGCTTGACCCCCTCCCTCCTCTCTGTGGCAGACCCTCAAGTATTGGAAGACTGCTATCATGTCTCCCCTGGTCCTTCTCTTCACTAGACCAGCCATGCCCAGTTCCTGCAACCGTTCATCGTAGGTTTTAGCCTCCAGTCCCCTCATCATCCTGGTTGCTCTTCTCTGCACTCTAGAAAGAGTCTCTACATCTTTTTTTATAGTGTGATGACCAAAATCCTGGATGCAGGATTCTAGGTGTGGTCTTACTAAGGCTTGATAGAGTGATATTAGTGTTTATTATTTATTTATTTATTTATTTAATATAACTTATATGCCGCCCTATCTCCATAGGACTCAGGGCGGCTCACAACAATTAAAACAAACCAATAAAAATATAAAATACATACAGAAACAAATATTAAAACCCGTTAAAATAATCGAAAACCCCCTCAATCCAGGCTAGGCACCGCGAACAGCCATGTTTTAAATTCGTGGCGGAAGGTACGGAGGTCAGGAACCAGCCGGAGCCTCAGGGGGAGCTGATTCCAACTCTGATTGTATCCCAAAATAAAATTTTGTGGGCCTGTCTACATCTGCCTTATGATGCTGAGTGGTTTCTGCAACACGGATGGAATTCAGAACGTTGATGGATTTGTTCCTCTTCTTCTATTATTCCTGGTTGATTTCCTGCCTTTCTCTCCCTACAGATTCCTTATGTGTTTCTGAACTCCTACGCTTCTGAAATCAGACCTCGAATGTACCCGGTGTTTTTCGGAGAAAGCATAGAGGTCAACCCTGAGCCGGCACAGGAAATCAGGTAACAAGACAGCTTGCTCTTGGGTGCGCCTTCGGTCTTTCTCCACCTCCTGCAAGAAAAGAAATACAAGTTGCAGAATTTATGGATGGATTTGAGGGCTGTTTTAATGCAATGGTTTTGTGGGAATGAGGAAGGATGGGAAACGATGGCTTGGACTGTGGGGTCCTTGGGGCTCTCCGAGCTTGGTGGTTTTCTGGCAGACGTTTCATGACCCAACTAGGTAACATCATCAGCGATAGAAGGGAGAAGGAGGATAATGATGACTACTATGAGGGTTTTGGTGCTCTCTGAACTTGGTAGTTTTCTTGCAGACATTTCATGACCCAAGTAGGGCACATCATCAGTGCTAGAAGGGAGTGGGGTTTGGGAGGAGGAGGAGGAGGAAGAGGAAGAGGAAGAGGAGGACTGTGAAGTCCTTGAAACTCTCTGAGCTTGATTGTTTTCTTGTAGACATTGCATGACCCAACTAGGTAACATCAACAGTGTTAGAAGAGAGAGTGGTTTGTGGGTGGGAGGAGGAGGAGGAGGAGGAGGAGGAGGAGGAGGAGGAGGAGGAGGAACTGTGGGGTCGTTGATGCTCTCTGAGCTTGGTGGTTTTCTGACAGACATTTCATGACCCAACTAGGTAACATCATCAGTGCTAGAAGGGAGTGGGGTTTGCTGTTTATTTATACACAAACAATAAACAATAACCCAATCAAGGAACTACCAAGAAGAGATCAATGCTCCCACCAATACTGACAGGGCAAGTAACTTATATATAAACAGAGAACAAACCCCTCTCCCTCCTAGCAGTGATGACGTTACCTAGTTGGGTCATGAGACATCTGCAAGAAAACCACCAAGCTCGGAGATGGACCACTTAGTCCTCCTCTTCCTCCTGCTCCTCCACACACACCCTGCACTGATGATCTTAGCTAGTTGGGTCATGAAACGTTTGCAAGAAAACAACCAAGCTCAGAGAGCCCCAAGGACCCCACAATCCTCGTCCTAATCCTCCCCCCAAACCCCACTCCCTCATAGCACTGATGATGTTACCTAGTTGGGTCATGAAACGTTTGCAAGAAAACGACCAAGCTGAGAAAGGACCCAACAGTTCAGCCCTGAGTTGCAATTATTCTCTTCTGTTGCTAGCAATGCCTGGACTTCAAAGAGAGGGAGATGAAGGTGGGAAGCTCTTAGGTCTTGCATTGCATTTATCTCAAGATTTGAAGCAGAAAATTGGGCCTTGAATTCTGTGCATCGAAATGGGTAGGGAGATAAATGGGCTTGCAGCTTGACGCCTCCCTGCTGAAGTCAAATTATCTCCCACGCCTTAAACGTTCCCCCAAAGGGGTCATCGCCAAAGGTAGGGATGGGCTGAAAATATCCCAGCCACATTTTGCAGGGCGGTGTAGCTGCTAAGTCGCTGGGAACTTATTTGAAAGATAAATCTGCAAAGAGGCTGCCAACTGTGGGTACCTTTTTTTTTTTATTAGTATTATTTTTTTTCCCCAATTGTCTCCTCCACCCAGCCTGGTGTTTTCCCCACCAAATTCTCTGCAGGGCTCTGAACTGAGCTGCAAAACTCATTAAATAGATTGTGTTTCGCCTGCTCTGCTCCGGGCCAAGCCTGGTTGAGGGCGTTGGCAGATGCTAAACGCCAACGCCTGGCGTTTAATCTTTTTATACCAGGGCTGCAGTTGCTTCAGCTACTGCTGATTTTTTCCCAGAGAGAGAGAGAGAGAGAGCAGAGGAGAGAGAGAGGAGAGAAAGAAGAGAGAGAGGCAAGAGAGAGAAGAGAGAGGAGAGAGAGGCGAGGAGAGAAAGAAGAGAGAGAGGAGAGGAGAGAGGAGAGAGAGAAGAAAGAGAAGAGAGAAAGAAGAGAGAGGAGAAGAGAGAGGAGAGGAGAGGAGAGGAGAAAGAAGAGAGAGAGGAGAGAGAGGGGAGAGAAAGAAGAGAGAGGAGAGAGAGGAGAGGAGAGAAAAGAGAGGAGAAAGAAGAGAGAGGAAAGAGGAGAGAAAGGAGAGAGGAGAGGAGAGAGAGGAGAGAGGAGAGGAGAGAGAGAGGAGAGAGGGGAGAGGAGAGAAAAGAGAGAGAGGAGAGAAAGAAGAGAGAGAGGAGAGGAGAGAAGAGAGAGAGAAAGGAGAGAGAGACAAGAGAAAGGAGAGAGAGGAGAGAGAGAGAGAGACGGAAGCAGCAAATTGCCCACAGCCAGTTTTCTGTTGAAAAGAGCTGTTTTTCTTAGAGCAGAAAAGCTTGCTACTTCATTGGCTTTGCCAAAAACTGTCAAAAGCGCCGTTGGCCAACTTGCTAATCATTGAATTATAGGGAAGGGGGCTCTCGAGGTCATCAAGTCCAGCCCGTTGGCGTAGGCAAGGAGACGAAATAAAAGATGGCTAACAGAAGGCTTTCTGGGCTCAGCATGAAGATTATCTGGCAGAGGGGAACAAACCACCTCCTTAAAAATCGTGTTTCTCAACCTTGAGAACTTTAAGACGGGAGGACTTCAAGTGTTCACAGCATCTTCATGTTGCCAAGATTGACAAACAGTGCCCTCAAAATGTCTTCCAGTTAAGATTTAGAAATGGGTTAGTTAGTCCAATATTTTCCAATCTTGGCAACTTCAAGATGGATGGAGGTCAACTCCCAGAATTCCCCAACCATGGGGAATCATGGGAGTTAAAGTCCGCCCTCTTCAACTCCCAAAATTTTTGAAAGCCATGGCTGAGAAACACAGGTTTAGACAATTTTCCAGAACATTCCTGAGGAGAAAGAGGATGGAAGACCAAGCAGAAATAACAGCCCTTCAGAAAAAAACAGGAATAGCTATTCCAAGCCAGAGAACTTTAGTGGTGTGGCCTACCTCAAGGGCAGACACACCACTGAAGAGAGCCTCAGAAGGTTGAGTTTGGAGGTTGAATTTGGGGTTGATACAGCTAACAAAGTTCAATGAGAAGCATTCATCATCATCATCACCAGAGGTTTCGAGGGTGCTTTCTAAAAAGGCAACTGAACTTCCTTGGGGGTTTTTTTCCGTGAAAATCTTTTCTTCTCATCCAAGATGCTTCTTCCATTCTAAGGAATGGTGGGGGATTCTTCAGTTAGAACAGAAGAAGCTTCTTGGATGGGAAGCGAAACGTTTTCAAGGGGAAAAAAACCCAAGAAAGTCCGGTTGCCTTTTGGAAAAGCGCCTTTGGGACAACCAGGACCTGGGTGATTGAGAATCTCTGTAGACTTCACCGGGCCTCTTCTAGTCAAGCTCTTCTCCAAAGCATCAGAAGGCAGGACAAGAAGCAACAGGTGGAAACTAATCAAGGAGAGAAGCAACTTAGAACTAAGGAGGAATTTCCTGACCGTGAGGACAATTAATCAGTGGAACAACTTGCCTCCAGAAGTTGTGGATGCTCCAACGCTGGAAGTTTTTAAGAAGATGTTGGATAACCATTGGTCTGAAGTGGTGTAGGGTTTCCTGCCTAAGCAGGAGGTTGGACTAGATGACCTCCAAGGTCCCTTCCAACTCTGTTATTCTATTCTATTCTATTCTATTCTATTCTATTCTATTCTATTCTATTCTATTCTATTCTATTCTATTCTATTCTACTCTACTCTACTCTACTCTACTCTACTCTACTCTACTCTACTCTACTCTACTCTACATTCTATTCTACTCTATTCTATTCTACCCTACCCTACCCTACCTACTCTACCCTATTCTATTCTACTTTACTCTACTCTACTCGATTCTACTCGATTCTACCCTACCTACTCTACCCTATTCTATTCTACTTTACTCTACTCTACTCGATTCTACTCGATTCTACCCTACTCTACCCTATCCTACCTACTGTACTCTACTGTACTCTACTCTACTCTACTGTACTGTACTCTACTCTGTTCTATTCTATTCTATTCTATTCTATTCTATTCTATTCTATTCTATTCTATTCTATTCTATTCTATTCCATTCCATTCCATTCCATTCCATTCCATTCCATTCCATTCCATTCCATTCCATTCCATTCCATTCTATTCTATTCTATTATCAGTTGATGGTTAGCTGTGACGGATGCTGGCTTAGATCCACCAGGATTTCCCCCTCCCCTCCTTACCTTCTCTTTCCCCTCTCCCAGGTGCAATTCGGAGATCAAGTACAGCTCAGAGAAACACTACCGGGATGACATCTTCTACCACCCCACACCCACCATCACCACCTACCGAGAGTCCGTCACGGTGGCCCCCAACTGCACTTGGCGCAACTACAAGTCTCAGCTCCTTTTCGAGCCTCGTCAGAAGCCTCTCCGGTATCAAAGCACAACCATCATTTTCCCCAAACGTGCCAGAAACCTTTACCGGACCACGCTCAACTACCAGCTGGGCTGTGCCAAGCGGTGGTTCGCCTCCAGCGTCCAACTCGCCTTGTGCGAGGACAACAACACCTACCTGACGCATCCGGAGAACTTGTCCTAGGCTTTCTGGAAGGTCGGGCTAGGCTACACTGTCCATCTATGGCATAGGTCCACCTCTTGGAGACACGTTTATGGACTTCATCATCCCTCGGCTGAAGGCATCTCAGAGACGTCCGTCCGCAGGGTTACAATTTCATCCTTTGCCGAATCGATTGTGGGCCAAGCCAAGTGTCTTTCACACTTCCAAGAACCAGTTGGAGGAGAGAGCGTCCTCTGAAGATGTTATTTATGTAGCACTTAAATGCCGCTTTTTAATCCAGAAGGCTGTCTTTAGTACTTTGCTATTTAAATCTCTCTAAAGTATGAAACTTTTTTGAAGATTTCCCTGGTGCTTTTAGGAGGTTTTTTCCCCTTGGAAAAAAAGTATTATCCAAGAATCTCATTGGCCAATCGAGCAATCATCATCATCATTTAACGACCCCATAATTCCTTGCGGGGTGGAATCTGGGCAACTGAATGGAGCTAGCAGAGTTTTTGAATGGCCGGATGCTCTTCCTGTTGCCAGTGCGGAGTTTTGTCCAGCAGATATATTTTCATCGTGCCCAGAGAGAGAAAAACACCCGCCTCTACCTAGGATCGAACTCACCGCCTCCTGATTGTGAGGCGAGAGCTCTGCCTCTAGGCCACCACACCACTCATTGGCCAATCGAGCAGTCTAAGTGTTGATTTCATCTGGGGGATATTATTGGAAAGTGTCAAGATCACCATGATGGGATTAACACACAAAATGGAGGAATTTTACGCAAGAATTATGCATGATAAGCTTTTTGGGGGTGGAGCCAATAGTTGTCTTGGACCAAATGTCTATTCCCCCCCAAAAAAAAACATTCTGTGAAAAAAAGCGTTTCAAATTCATAATTTCAAGAGTTTGCCTCTCTAAAACGTCTGGGAAGGATTTTCAGAGGAGAACCGGAAGTGAATGCATGGAAACCCGAAGGACAAATGACTTCACATTGCCAGCCGTTAGGTAACCAAAGAACCGGAAGAAGGAGAAAAAAAAAAAAACTTTGCATATCCTCCGCAACCATCTCCTTGCTATTATATTTCCTGCTTTTAAAGATTGGGATTTTCAGCATTTTGAATGCTGCAGAAATCCGCACCATCATTAGAAGTAGCAAAACGAAGAGAGATATTGATTTGATCTTTCTCCGTCGGCTTTAAAACAAAACAAACCAAACCAAAGGAAAAAAAAAGCTTTAGAAAGGAAATGAAATCCGAATGAATCTTTTGGGGTGATCTGAAATTCAGAACGTCGGAGAAATTTTTAACCATGAATGATGGTTAAACTAACTGGCTCGGTGAACGATGGCCAACGCAGTTTTAAATTTTCAGTTTGGGGGGTATTTAAGACTAGAGCAATGGAAACAAGAGGAGAAATTAGAAATGTGTGTGGTTGATAGGTGGAAGATTATAGAGAGGCCTCAGTTTCCCAGAAATGGTTCGGGAAATAAATCATTGTGGATAGTCCTTGATTTACGACCACAGTTGGGAGCAGAACTCTCCATTGCTAAGCAATGTTCAGTGAATTGTGCCTGATTGACGACCTTTGTGCCACCGTTGTTAAGTGAATCCCTGCAGTTGTAATGTCAATCATGCGGTCGTTAAGCGAACAACCCAACTTCCCCTCCCCCCCCATTGACTCTGCTTGTAGGAAGCAAAGCCAGAAAGGTCACAAACATCGATCCCCTGACTAGAGACACTGCAACCAGGGCGGTCGTAAATGCGAGGAACGGTCGCGAGTCACTTTCATAACTCTGGATGGCCTTTCCAACCGTTTTGGAGCCCATCGGGGTCCCCCGTGGTCACACACACAGCCCCAAACTAAACGACAGAATCGTGCCGCCTTAGAGACTGAAAAAAGCGGCCCTCCAAAGAATTTAAACCAAGTCTTTGCGTTTAAAAATTTGCATTATTTGAAGGGTGGTGGGGAAAAAAGACGCCGATATGAACGGGAGGTTTCCCAGGATCGGACTGCAGCTTTTTTTTTTTTTGCTTTTTTTTGGTGGGGGGGGAAGGAATAAAATCAACCTTCAGCTGCGGCGAAGTTGCTTTTTGAAGAACCAAGATGACAAGATTGGGGAAATCCAAGGCTTCCTGCCAAGGAGCTGAAATTCTCCCGTTTGTTTTCCTCCCTTGCATTCCTCTTCTTCCGTTTCTCACAAGGAGCGAGCCTGCTCAGGCCCTACACCCTCACCCAGGTGGTTTAGATTAGACCCCCCCCCCCCCCCCCCCATGCAAAATATCCAGCGGGAAAGATGGCAAACCGGTTGCAACGGGCCGAATGCCGGTTTCTGCACCCCATTGTATCCAAGGCCGGTTCTGAGTGGAGGGTTTTTTTTTTTTCCTCTTGGAAACGCAACTCAGTTGGACGTAGCCCCAAATCTCACAATTCAGGAGCTCGGAGGGTGGATTTGGGGCGTGCTTTCAGCTGAAGGGCCTTCTTTTTTTGCAGCTGTAGAAAGTCTACTTGTAGAAAGTACAAGCTATAGAAAGTAGACTGTAGACTTTCTACAGCTACCAGCCCAACATTTCTGTTGCTAAGTGAAACATTGGGTGAAGTGAATTTTTTTCCCCCATCTCATGACCTTTCTTGTGACTTATTTAAGTGATTAATTTAGTAATCCGGTTGTTAAGTGAATCTGGTTTCCTCGTGGACTTTGCTGGGCTGAAGGTCACAAAAACAGTAACGGTAACAAGAGTTGGAAGGAAGGGACCTTGGAGGTCATCTAGTCCAACCCCCTGCTCATGCAGGAGACCTGTACTAGGGATTCGAACCGCTGAACTGCCGACCTTTCTGATCGACAAGCTCAGTGTCTTAGCCACTGAGCCACCTAGTCAGGCAAAAAGGGGATCACGTTGCAACCGTCATAAATGGGAACCAGTGGTCAAGCAACGAAGATGATTAGGGGATTGGAGGCTAAAACATACGAAGAATGGTTGCTGGAATTGGGTCTGTCTAGTCTGATGAAAAGAAGGACCAGGGGAGACATGATAGCAGTCTTCCCATATCTCAGGGGCTGCCCCAAAGAATAGAGGGAGTCAAGCTATTGTCCAAAGCACCTGAGGGCAGGACAAGAAGCAACAGGTGGAAACTAATCAAGGAGAGAAGCAACTTAGAACTAAGAAGGAATTTACTGGCAGTTAGAACAATTAACCAGTGGAACAGCTTGCCACCAGAAGTTGTGAATGCTCCAACACTGGAAGTTTTTAAGAAGATGTTGGATAACCCTTTGTCTGAACTGGTGTAGGATTTCCTGTCTAAGCAGGGGGTTGGACTAGAAGACCTCCAAGGTCCCTTCCAACTCTGTTATTCTATTCTATCTAAATTTTGATCACGTGACTTATAGGGATGCTGCAATGGTCATAAGTTTGAAAAACAGTCACGGGTCCCTTATTTTTCAGCCCCGCCATAACTTCAAACGGTCACTAAAGGGACGGTTGTATGTGGAGGACCACCTGCCAATGGATTGCAGCCTGCTTGCCAAAAGCAAGGATTCTTGTAGGAAAAGGAGCCTGGATAGCTCAGCAGACTAATGCATTGTAATTTAACTTCAGCTGTCTGCAATTAGTAAGTTCGAATCTCACCAGGCTCAAGGTCGACTCAGCCTTCCATCCTTTCTAAGGTGGGTAAATTGAGGACCCAGTTTGTGGGGGCAATAAGCTGACTTTGTATAAATATACAAAAGGATGAAGGCTATTGCTTAGCGCATTGTAAGCCGCCCTGAATCTCCAGAGAAGGGCAGCATATAAATCAAATTTAAAAAAAAAATCAGATTATTATGCTGGTGAAGTCTTGCTTGAGTGAATGGGCTGGTTTTGGCTCAGTTGGATTGTTGATCCTTGGAGATGTTCGTTGCTTGGATTTTCCCAATCTTGTCAGCTTAAGTTTTCAAAAAACAACTTGGCCGCAGCTGAAGGATGATTTTATTTCTTTCCCCCCCAAAAAAAGAAAAACTGCAATTCGATCCTGAGAAACCTCCTATTCGTATCAGCATGTTTTTCCACTACCCATGCAAATTTTGAACGCAAAGACCTGTGGCTTGGCTTAAATTCTTTGGGGGGCACTGTTTTAAGTCTTTAAGATGACATAATTCTGTCATTTAGTTTGGGGTGTGTGTGTGTGACCATGGGGACCCCGATGGGCTCCCAAGATGGTTGACAAGGCCATTCAAACTTACCTGGGCATCAAATAATAGTCACATTGGTCGTGAAGCTACGGTGTACAAAACCAGGTTGGATGCATCAAACCTAAAATGTTTTATGGATGTTTTTAAGCAAAGCTCTTTCAGAAGAAGGGTTGATAACTGGTTAGTAGGTTTTCAATCTGGTTATATCTGATGCGACACCAAATTGTCAATTAGATTCTAGGTTAGATCACAATTTTCGGACATAACGGATGAATCGTAGATGACTCTTTGCATCTCATGATACTATCTCAAATAGTAGCAACATGTTGGTTCACTTCTAACCCCAAGCCGACATTTGCAAAACTCTTTGGTTTGCGTGCTGAGTTCAGATCCAGTGTTTGGACGTCCAACCTTGTCGTAGTAAAGGTGTATTGCGTCTGAACGATTTGTGGCTCTGAATAGCTTTCATCAAGCATCGTTGTAGTGTTAGAAAGTTGACGTTAAGACGTAAGCGTGCAAACGTGGTGCGGGAAGCTGATTGGGTGGTCAGACGTGGGACGATAGAGAATAAAAGGGCTTGGGATTTTAGGTCTGTAATTATGACGTCATAGCTCTGCTCTTCCTGAATGCTAGTGAAAGTATTTTTGCTGTTTTATGTATTACAATAAGTCCGTGTTTTTCAAACTGGACAACTTTGAAGAGGTGTGGACCTCAACTCCCAGAATTCCCCCTGCCAGCAAAGAATTCTGGGAGTTGAAGTCCATCCCTCTTCAAAGTTTCCCAGTTTGATCAACACAGGGATAAGGCATTTTGCGGTTCCTTTTTTATTTTTATATCTCTATAAATGTATATATATATTCCTCCTGTTGCATAATGTCCGACTAACAGAAATAATTTAAGGATTGTCAAAGGTGTTTAAACACGTATCTAGCTTTAATAAAACGAGGAGAAAAAAAAAATCCCGATTTTTTTTGGATAGCTCGGCTGTGATTTCACGAACATACAATGACACCTTTAATCGTGTCCAGATGGAAGTAATAAATTAACACATTCGAATTAGCCCTGAAAAGCTCATTGGACTGATCTCTTGAGGTTCATTTCGGGGAATAGTCTGCGAGTCTTCTAGCCAGACCATGTTTGATGTGTACTTTCTCCCTCCCTGAAGCGAGGAAAACATGGGAGGGAAGAAAAAACAGAAGCTTGGAAATGCAAGGGGCAAGTTTCTAAATTTGCCAAGCAGTACCAAGCTGTGTGTTGTTTTGGGGTTTTTTTTGTTTTTGTTTTTGTTTTTTTTGTTTTGGAGGATTATTCAGAAAGCCTCTCCTCTTGGAAGATGCGTTTATCTATTCTTCTTGGGAGTGGAAACCATCCAATTATCTGGAATTTGCAAGGCTCCCCCTTCGTGAAGTTTGTAAAATAAGATCTCGACAAGCCACCGCAGACAGCTCAAGATGCAGGGTGGAAATCTGCCCATTAGCCATTTTAATAAATACGCTTCTGGCCTATTTTGAGGGTCTGAATATGTGGGATTTGGGTTACAAGGAAAACAAACCCAGGCTATCCTGCGGGAAAACCTGAATGGCAGTTTTCCTTCGTTCCCTTCTCGCCTAAGCAACATCAAAGCCAGGTTAAAAATAGCTTGGTCTTCAAGAAATCCATGCTGGGAAAAAAAAAATTCAGAGTCATTCCCAGCTCATCTGTATGCCTGAAAGGGGTTCTACTATGGTCCTGAATCCTGCAGGATTAAAATTGGTGCAAATATTTAGGGCGAGACTGTTTGAATGTTTGAATTGAGTAGGTCTAGTTTAAGGAATTGGGAATCTCTAGTCTAGTGAAAAGAAGGACTAGGGGAGACATGATAGCAGTGTTTCAATATCTCAGGGGTTGCCCCAAAGAAGAGGGAGTCAAGCTATTCTGCAAAGCACCAGAAGGCACGACAAGAAGCAACAGATGGAAACTACTCAAGGAGAGAAGCAACCTAGAACTAAGGAGAAACTTCCTAACAGTGAGAACAATTAACCAGTGGAACAACTTGCCTCCAGAAGTTGTGGGCGCTCCATCACTGGAGGTTTTTAAGAAGAAACTGGACAGCCATTTGTCCTTCATGGTATAGGGTCTCCTGTTGAGCAGAGAGTTGGACTAGAAGACCTCCAAGGTCCCTTCCAACTCTGTTATTCTGTTAATATCTGATTGCAAGCTGGGGTGAAGCAGACCGAGTTATGCAATACTATCGCACTATGTTTTACGCTGGATCACATCCAGAACAAAGCAATCCTATAAAAACTTTTACATTTTTTGCATGTAGCATTCACATTCTCTGGGAGATGACAGAAACCCTTGATATTTTCCACCTGTTTGTCTCTTGTGGCCCAAGAAATGATTTGGCATTTTTTTTTCGTTTTGGGGGTCATTTGTTCCCCTTCTTGATCAAAAATCATCATTTCAAAACGTTTGTGTTTGTAAAATTTGTTTTCTGTTGTGGGAACAGCCCAATCATTTGATCCAGGGGTGAAATTCAAAATTTTTCCCTACAGGTTCTGTGGACGTGTCTTGGTGGGCGTGGCGTGTCTTGGTGGGTGTGGCGTGTCTTGGTGGGCGTGGCCGGGGAAGGATATTGCAAAGTCCCCATTCCCTCCCCACTCCTGGGGGAAGGATATTGCAAAATCCCCATTCCCTCCCCACTCCTGGGGGAAGGATATTGCAAAATCCCCATTCCCACCCCACTCCTGGGGGAAGGATATTGCAAAATCCCCATTCCCTCCCCACTCCTGGGGGAAGGATATTGCAAAATCCCCGTTCCCACCCCACTCTGGGGCCAGCCAGAGGTGGTATTTGCCGGTTCTCCGAACTACTCAAAATTTCCGCTACTGGTTCTCCAACTGCTCAAAATGTCCACTACCGGTTCTCCAGAACCTGTCAAAACCTACTGAATTTCACCCCTGATTTGATCTTGTGTTAGAGAATGAGAGACAGAGAGAGATCAATAAAAAACGGAATTAAATTAAAAATTCCACAAAGCAGAATGTTTTATTCTTCAAATCTCATTGCATCCACTTTATCAATTCGTTGGACCTTTCTAACTAAGTCTGAAAATCCTGGCTAGAATTTGGTCGCATTTAAACACCGTAGAAATGTTATGACTTTGGGATTATTATTATTATTTTTAATTTTTGGAAGTGTGCAATTTCGACAAATAGCAACAGAAACAGCCGGGCTAAATTTGGGAGTCACTTCACTCCAGACGTGGATATAAATCCAATTCGGAACTAACTCCCCCCTCCCCCCTTGGGCTTCACGGCAAGATCTGAAACATTTTTCTTTAAACTTCATAAACGAGACCACATGTTGCCGTATTAAATATCCCGATGGCTGATCCTTGTAGCTTGCTGCAGGTTGCTGGGTTTTAACCTTGAAAAAGGGAAAAGGCGGCCCTTGAATTGAATTACAGCCTCGGCCGCCCCAGCGTTAAGGGCTGGGTTGAGTTAAGGGAGCGACCTGTGCTTAAGATCAGAGAGAAATCAAATGAGGAGTGACTTGGTGGTCTCAGCTTGGAGGTTGCCGATGAATATGCAGTGCAGGATGGGATGTGTTTGCAATTAGGGGAGGAGGAGGAAAAGAAGAAGAAGAATGAAAATGAGAAGAAGAAGAGAAAGGAGGAGGCGCAGGTGGAAAGGAGATGGAGAAGAAGTGAAGGAAAAATGGAAAAGGTGAAGAAGTAGAAGAAAAGGAAGAGAAGAGGAAGTAGAAGAAGAGGAGGAGAGGAGATGGAGAGGAAGAGGAGGAGAGATGGAAAAGGTGAAGATGTAGAAGGAAAGGAAGGGGAGAAGAGGAAGAGGAGGAAGAAGTCAAAAGTCAGGAGGAGGAGGAGGAGGAGGAGGAGGAGAAGGAGAAGAAGAAGAAGAAGAAGAAGAAGAAGAAGAAGAAGAAGAAGAAGAAGAAGAAGAAGAAGAAGAAGAAGAAGAAGAAGAAGAAGAAGAAGAAGAAGACTACTGTGGGGTCCTTGATGCTCTCTGAGCTTGGTTGTTTTCTTACAGATGTTTCATGACCCAACTAAATAACATCATCAGTGTTAGAAGAAGAAGATTCAAAAGTAGCCCTAACCATGGTGAAGAAAACAATGGGATGGAGTTAACTAACTTTAAAAGCAGCCTTAAACCTGAGGACAAGGAGAAGAAAAGGAGTTATTCCACTTATAATCTGCCACTTTGCCTCTGACTCATATTCCTACTCTTCCCTCCCAACTCCGAGAGAAGAGAAAAGGCGTTGAGCACCTACTGAGGACCATTAAAGCACTGTAAAAGTTGACTAGGGGATGTGGTGGCTCAGCGGCTAAAGCCGCTGAGCTTGTCGATCGAAAGGTCGGCAGTTCAGCAGTTCGAATCCCTAGTGCCACGGAACAGGGTGAGCTCCCGTGACTTGTCCCAGCTTCTGCCAACCTAGCAGTTCGAAAGCACATAAAAAATGCAAGAAGAAAAATAGGGGCCACCTTTGGTGGGAAGGGAACAGCGTTCCATGCGCCTTTGGCATTGAGTCATGCCGGCCACATGACCACGGAGACGTCTTCGGACAGCGCTGGCTCTTCAGCTTTGAAACGGAGATGAGCACCGCCCCCTAGAGTCGGGAACAACTAGCACGTATGTGCCAGGGGAACCTTTACCTTTAAAAGTTGACTCTTGTTTATCGTTCTTCTTCTCGGCTGGGCATGAAAACATAGAAGACCAGAAATGGCCATTGGAAACATTCTGCATGGCTCTGAAGGGTTTATTTGAATCCCCACCTCCAAAACGGTGGTATATCGACCACAGGTTCTGAATGAGAACATTGTCCTGACGCTTCCAGGTGTCAACCTTTGAAATGACCCATGGAAACATATTTTTTTTTAAAAAAAAAATTGGCCCTGAAAAATGAAGGCTTCTTCTTTAGCCCGTCCTGAGCCGTAGCCTTCTTGAAACATAGTCTTCATTCATTCCCTCTGCTGGAAAGGAAGCCGTCTCTTCAATGTCCAACTCAACATTTGTTTATCTTCAAGGCTTCTATGGCTGTTCTGTCTTGTAGAACACGACTCTGGGTGGCTCACAATGGTAATAAAATCCTAGTGGTAAAAACGAGGGGGAAAAAAAACCCTCCAAGTTACTGGTCAAACATCTACATTCCTTTATCTATACAGGTGTTTTCAAGGTTGACAACTTTTAAGATGTGTGGACTTCAACTCCCAGAATTCCTCAGCCAGCCATATCTTAAAATTGCCAAGGTTGAGAAACATGGATATATATATAATTCCCAGAATTCTTAATGCTGTTTTACAACATTTACTAAATGCCAAAATTTTGATTCTCTCTCTCCCTCCCCCCTCTCTCTTTGTGTGTGTGTGTGTGTGTGTGTGTGTGTATTCAAAATTCTTCCCTACCAGTTTTGTGTGCATGGCAGGGGAAGGATACGGCAACATCTCCATTCCCACCCCACTCCTGGGGGAAGGATATTGCAAGATCTCCATTCCCATCCCACTCTGGGGCCAGCCAGAGGTGGTATTTGCCGGTTCTCCAAACTACTCAAACTTTCCGCTATCTCCAGAACCTGTTAGAACCTGCTGGATTTCATCCCTGATATATATATATATCTCCCTCTCTGTCTGTCTGTCTGTCTGTCTGTCTGTCTATCCATCTATCTATCCATCCATCCATCCATCCATCCATCTCTCATCTATCTCTATTACATACATACATACATTCATATATACATACATACGTATCTCACTTCCTCATACTGTTAATTTCTTCTAAATTGCTTGAATGAAACAAAAATGCAGCTTTTATCCCTGCAACTTGAGATGTTTTTTTCTTTCTTCTTTTCAGCCACAACATTCTAAAAACTATTTTTATGCAATGTCTGGTTTCACCTTTGACCCCTTCTCTCTGTGGACAATTGTGTGAATCTGCAAACAGTGTAACAGCAACACCTAGTGACTGAATACA